GTACCCGGTCTCATTGGCACGGACAGGACCGCAGTGTAAAACGTTGGTTTTCTACGCTTTGTAGTCAAAGCATAAAGAACTCTTTGGGAGCAAGAAATTTATTCATTAGCTTTTATCAAAACCTAAAGGCTAGGACGAACTTCTCGTCGATTCTAGTTAAAAGTGATTTCATAGAATTATATTTATTGTAACAACTTATTAAGATCGTTTATTTATTACTAGCTGACCAGCGCAACTTCATCTACATCACACTTATATGACATTTGTCATTATATTTCGCCCCATTTACATAATATCTTTTAAAAGTATGTCCTGTATGTTATTCTGATTTATAAGCTACAAGTTACTGGATAGTTTCATCACAATCCGTTCAGTAGTTTTTGCATAAAAAAGTAACAAACATCCATACTCATAAGCCTTCGTTTATAATATTATTAAGATTCTAAGTACTTACAAGAATCGACAACTTAATATATAATTCATTATATAATCACTTCAGCAATTTAAAAGGAAAATAGGATAAAAATACTTGTCTAAGTATATATTATTTACAAAATAAATGTAATGAATAAATCTACATATCTCCATAGGTATACCCGTAGATATATTCGCTAGGTATGTCATGAATAAATAAATATTTTACTAACTCCGAGTTTGTCTGGCACATGGATAAATTATATCCACCAACTGATTAGTCTCTGGGGAAATAAATATCTAAAAAAAAATGCCCCGCAAGCCACCAATTCTGTCTGTCACTGACAGAGAATCACTCTATAATTTGAAAGGCTACTATGTATATTGAGACATGAATTATGGAATTTACTTCTGAGATCATTATATCTTTAAACATACATATATAAATACTGGTGAAAGTCATAATGATGGGGGATTACTTTACCGTAACGGGTAATAAAGTATATAGTGTTAGGCAGCTTCAATACAGTATGTATTGGTTTTAAAACTGTCTCGTCGATTTAACTCCCAATTGATAATATTTCATAAATGCTGAAATTTCATTGAAATTTTAAATCAATGTGATGCACTAACCAAATTGTAATAAAATATTATTTTGTATGTATAATTAATACAAATTACAAAGTCAAAACATTAGTCATTAAAATTAATTATTTAAAAAGGTTGACAAGTATGAAAATCGATAGTAGTTTATTAATAATTCATGCATTAAGTTTGAAAAAAATACCGTCAATTTCGGAATTTAAAATGAATTTATTTAATTCAATACCTACGATATTAATACTTAAGTTTGAAGTTTCAGTAAAATTATTATCTAGACAATTTTCGTTTGCGAACAACAATACTAATTGGACTCTGCCTGTAATACTATTAGTTATATTTTGGACTAGTTTCTTACGGTTCTAGACTGTACACTACAAAATTCCAAAAACGAATAGTAAAAATATCAAAAGTAATTACAAAAATATTTCATACGTACATAACATGTATTTTATTTTGAACTTCTCGTTTAGTAGTCATTATGGAAAAAAGTATCCATACTTTTCAGGACGATACCTGCAATACTTTTTTGCCTCTCTAAATCTCCAATTTTTCACAGGTTTATTGGAAACCCGAGGCTTTTGGGAAAATTTTGCTCCAATGCAAAGTGCTGGTGTCTTTAGATTGTCGCGCATAGCCTACATTATGATGACAGTATAAAAACATATAGCGGCCATAAACAATGGTTTTAGTGTACTATTATTAAAATCATATATTAAAATTTAAAAATAAATTTAACACTGCATATATAATTGGGTCTAATTTAACATATTATAATTAACTAAAGTAGTCATTAACTAGCTAAGGAAGCGAGAAGCTTGTTGTAATAGGGGTAAGTAGTGACAGGCTCTTTTCACCAGGAGCTTTATTTTTATTAACTTATTCTTTTTACCTAATCGCCTTTACATCGCATCAGATTATGTCGTCATAACGAGTTTAAGATAATTGTTCTTAAATTTGTCTAATAGTTTTTCTTATTGATCTTTTTTATGTAACATTAGATATGTTACATAAAAAAGAATAATAAAAAAATATTGAAATTTTTTAGTAATCTTATACAACCTAATTTCTGTCAATAGTATTCTTTATTTATGATTTTATTGAAGAAAGCATCTAATTTTATATATTTGCAATTTAGTCGTGATTGATTGCAAATATATAAAATTAGATGCATTCTCTTCTCTTTTCTCTTCTTCTTTTTCTTGATTTCAAGATCTGTTCATCTTCTGAAAACTGTTACAACAAACGCTTTTTTAATATTGCAATAGTAAACTGATATATAATAGAATCTTTCTCTTCGGTACTCTCATGGCTTAATTGTTTAACTAATTATAATACACCATCATCAAAAATAACTAATCATCATGACATTCAACGTATACCTACATAGCATTTAGTATGGAGAAAAGCATACTCTAAGTTTCATTTCGATCAAGCTTGACAAAAGTACGCTATTTTAAAAGCTTGTGAATAGATAAGGTAAATAACTAGTACCCTATAACGATCAGTAGAATATAATCACTAAATTACGTTCTATTCTTGTCGCCCACGGCAACTGCCGCAGCGGGCAAAAATAAGTCAGGTAATCTGCTGCCCGTAGACAGGTGATTTGGGTAATCAATCACCCCCGGAATCTTATTGACGTCTATTTATTTAATACTGTCGCGTTATACGGGGTTAGACGTAATCAGGGGCGGTGCTGTAATAGAAATCGAAAAGTCAGTTTTGCTTAGAAAATAACTAATTCTGAATACAATACCTATAATATTACTTAATCTATAATAATGATATAAATGTAAACAATGTATGTAATTTGGCGCGAGGATAGATTCTATTCCAACGTAAGAAAAATAGTGTACCTAATAAAAGCACTCATAAAATTATAAATTACCTAAGTACGAATATCAACTACAGACTTTTACAATACTGTATCACACGGTATTATTACCTTGGCCAATTTTTTGGTAAAATATATCTGGTGTGTTAATTCTGGGATATGTCATATTTATATATTAAATTTCATACGAATCTACCAAAATGTGCGAAAGTATAACAAATATCCGCCATCATAAACTTCCGTTTATAAGATTACGTTTCCACAAATGCTTCATTTTTCACTGGCATTATCGGGTATAGAGTAAAATGTATCAGGATCGCCATAACGTTAAGTTGTTTTCAAACTGTACGTGTTAATACGTATACAATCTCTAATAGAAGGAAGAAAAAGCCCTGTTGTGTGTGAGCTCGCCAGCGTAGCAATAATAGTAATAGCACAGATAACATAATATTACATAGTAATGGTAATAAGCCAGTTCTGTACACAAAGCGCCAAGTATTACCAAGCAGAATCAGAGCTTATGTTGTAGTTACTATACAACTAACAGAGTTAGTTATATCCATTTTTTTGTAAATACATATAGGTATATACATAATAGAGTATACCTAGACCAGTACAAATAATCATACTCATGAATACAAATGTTTGTGTGGGTAAGGTGTGCTAAACTGCTAGACTACCAATGCCGTCAATAGTCAATAGTCGAGGCATCATTTTAGTTTAACTACTGCTAATGATATAACTAACCACTATATACATAATATTATTATATATGTATATTTTTAATCCACCGGCACATAGTGGATCTATGTTCGAGTATATAACTCGCACTCATGGTACAAATCTATAAAAAATTTATTCCATTCTCTTCCTCCATTTTACCCGCAGTTCTAGTTATAAGTTCACCCTAGATATAAATTTGAAATTAATAGCTTATTGACACAGCGATGAATTTTATCATTTTATACGGATGAGGCATTTCTTAATTGCTTTTTGAAATTGATGTTAAAAAAATACATTCTAGTTACGAATATGTATATTATTTATATTGCACAATTCACACAGCGCAATCTAGTCCCAAGCTAAGCAGATCTAGTGTTATAGGCACTAGACAACTAATATAAATACATAGATATTTTTTTTAGAAAATACATACATATTATAGATATAAAACACCCCGATCTATACAACAATCATACAAATGAATATAAATGTATGTACCGTGCTAAAAATCGCACTCTCGGGAAGTAAGGTGATGTATAAAACCACTAAACCAATTACGCTGTAAAATATTGTAATCAGTAATCTAAGCGGAAATTACATATTATTTTGATAAAAAAACGACTGGAAATGAAATTCTACTGACAGTAATTTAAAAGACGACAATACCAGGAGTTCGATACTTGCATATTCTACAAACGGAAATCAAATGGAGTTCTCAATACATGTTAAAGCAAACGCAATACTTGTGCAATATTTTATATAAGAAAAATAGGTTTTGAAGTTTTAATAGATCTTGGAAAGCCACTAGTTGTGTTTTGTTACCAATATCTGTAGCAATTATTTGCACATTTTGATATATTTACTATTCTACCAATTTTAAAAGTATGTGCTTAATAGTATTGTATCATATTTATTATTATCACTTTTCCCTTGCTACTGTTTGTACTCGTATTTTCATTATAACTATTTACCATTTTCTATCCATTGTTTGATTTATATCACGCATACAGTCCGTTCAGTATCTTTTATTGTTCATTGATTTACTAGTTGCTTATTAAAAGCGAAATTCACTGTGAAATACCTAACTCAAAATTTCATTTTAATCGATCCTGCCACATGTAATAATAAAACAAATATTTATTTATAAGAAATTTACGTTAGTTGCAGCAATAAAAACGAATTAATTTTTAAGATAAAATATTACAAATTATAAATTATATTATATATATTAAAAAATAAATTATATATTATTGTATCACACTGCTCAACACAATAAAAAAAGTAATAAAATTGTTGTTAAAATCATGTATAAAACATTTTATGAAAATTGAAATAGTAAGTATAGTAAATAACGTCAGAGTAATAACAAAAATTCAGACTAAATTTAGACAATAATAAAATATATAAATCCTAATATATATCTTGTATGATTTGTTTACTGTCGTGCCGAAAAGGAAATTGGATGATAAATTTGTTTATGTTACTTTGCAATTTCGATGTAATTATTTCGGAAGACTGTAATTCGTACGGCAACGGTTTGTGAAATTATTTTTAATTTTATATTTTAACAATTTCTTCTGAAAAATTATTTAATATGTAGAAATTATTTATTTCTAGTTACCGATAAGAATTTACCATTGGATTGGCCGAACTGCTGGACTAAAGGGACGATACCGTTTGCCTTTGATTTCTATTCTCTAAGTGAGCATTTTTTTATAATTGGTGATTAGGATGTTTTTGAATTAGTAATATTTTTTTATTTTAGATTTTTGCCCATATAAAATTTGGAATTTGCACGCATTTTAATATTTTAGTATTGATCTCACATTAATTTTATCACAATTCGTATGCTAGTTTTATAGTAGCATAAAATGTTATTGAATACACAATGCTAATATACTGAAATACTAGAAATACGTGGATATATTTACATTTCAAATTTTTTATTCCGTAGATAAAGATATATATTATACAAGTTTAATTTAAAACTTAAATATAATTGATAATTTGAATCTTTTAAATTGCTGATAGTTCTTCTAATAAGTACTTTGGGATTTTGGGAAATTTACTTATTTGTAAGTAATAAGTCATAGTCATAATATTTTTATATATTAATGAATCTTTTTTCACCAAGGTCCAAGGCGACTAATAAGTCTAGTTCACAAGGGTCATAATTATCTGCAAAGATATTCATGCTTGATTTTCAAAGAACATAATCCCGTGATATTGGCACAAAGAAAGAACTTCACGTACCTATACTACACATACTCCGGTGTTTTGGAGAGTTGCTGTCTGCAATTTCAAACTAAGTCCGTCCGAAGAAGAGTAAGTACTAATTATACTGTCTTCTTTAGGCACCCTCTATCCTACTAGAAGTTGACAAACATTATGGCATACTTAAATTTCTGAACACAGATCTGGTCCTATACCCGTACCTTAGATTCTCCAACCATGACGTATGGCACCTATCTTGTCTTCGATGTCCTAAATTTTTGAATGTATTCATTGCATTAAGCATATTTTTTATTAATTATCTGACTTAGGTTCTGGAACTTCATACGTTTCCTAGTATTTATTATCATTATATACATAGTATTATAATAATTTATATTATTAGTGAGATGTGTGGGTTGAGCGATGACGTACCTACTGACAAAGATTGAGAAGGGAATGCTGGGCTGGTTTGGACATTTGAAATATATTGTAAAAGGAAAATAAAGATTTTCTATGTCTACCCTAATGAGAGACGGCCGTGAAGAAGTATGTATATTATTTTATATTGAAGATTTTACGACCTATACATGACATTCAAATCAGGGACAACATCAAAGCAGTGGTGGTGTGGCTAAAATCGGATTGATACTATGTAGAATCGGCCATGATTTCTACCCATTTCTACACATGAGGCGATCTAGACATCGATCTAGAGTGCTTTATACAAAGTTCCGATGTTAACCTAATTTTCAACGTCGGGTATACCTGGACTAGGTACTAGTCTACGCGATGTCCACGTCTATACTTTTTGTTAATTATATACGTACTAATTGCGCCTATATGTTATTCTGATGTATTAATAATTAGTTATATTACTGTAAAGTTTTATTAAAACACATACAGTAGCTTTTGCGTGAAAGAGTAACAAACATCCATCCATGCTCACAAACTTTCGCGTTTAACATTAATAAGATGAATTATCATAAGGTTTGATTAATTCACTGAAATACCAAAAGATAACAAAGAAGCTCACCTTCCGATTTATACTAACTGTGGTAAGGATTATACATACTATTACATATTAAATAGGATACGGGTGAAATTATAACGATGATCATCACATTGTCTTTCTTGTAAGTTTATACCCTTGTAACAGTGAGTAAGTGTACCCAAATCTTGTTTCTATATAGAAGCCGGGGGCAATTATATAGAATCTATATAGATATAAAGTGTGGCGTATACTGTAGACTCCCCAAAAATAAATGTCAACGTTTGTTTATCTTTCTCTTGACTATTTACTTCAATGAGGTTAAATCTAGGCTTTATTTGGATGGTGTAATAAATAATAATATGGATTTTTTCATTTTACTTGCCAAGGAAGTAGCACGATTCATTATAAATATTACCTACATTGTTATTAATAAGTATTTCGTTATTTCACAGGTAATTCTAATATCTCCGTTATGTACATTGCCCTCCGAGGTGGCTCATGTCACCCTTCATGCTCTTGGTTTGACGCATTGGCGAAAGGAACCTTTTTCTAAATATAAAGTAAAAGAATTTTTATTTCCGTACAAATGTAGAGGATTTGATCAAAAGATAAAAGAATTTAATGAGAATTTCTAATTTATATTTTGGAAATAATACAATGCGTCAGAATATATAAAAAGGAAGTTTATTTAACCCCTCTTATGTTTCGTTACAATTGATGTAATAAATACGAAATTATAATCGGAAGGCTGAAAAAAAATCCAAAGGAAAATAAATTAGTAGCATTTTTTCTGTGATACTATTCAAGAATAAGTGAAAAGATTTTTAGAAGTAACATAAGGGTTCAATTGGAGCACAAGAAAATTCTATAACCAAATTTTAATAGTTGTAAATTTATATATAGAAGAAATATTCTAGTGTAGATATATTAACCTGAATCCTTTTTTAGGTAATTGGAATGACAAATAAGCTGATCCTCATATCAGGAAGTGGTAACTGTCGCCTAATCATATGAATACTTCGTCATTATATGACAATCGTAGCTCCCATTCAACGAATGCGGAATATTACGATCTCGTGCTTCCACACTGTAAATTCGCTGCCGTATCTCACCCTTAGACGCAGAAGAATTTATACAAAGTTTACTTTATTATAAAATATTTTTATCTTCTTATTATTTATTTCAGATATTTATGGTCCATAGTTTTTTAGTAAATTACTTATAGGCTGAGTTTACTAAAATTATAAACACAAACAATTTTATTACATGCAATCAGAAAATAAGGAAATGGGACAATTGTTATAAGTTGGTGCTAGCATAATAAATATATCTATACGTATTAAGTTCCCACCTATGCAGTCTCCGCGTCCGTTCACGAACCCAGAACTAAAGTTAAAGTTTAATTAAAACAAAATTGAATGCTCACTTCTATCAGCCGCGGTTTCCTGTACACAATGGCACTTTTAATATTAACGACTGCTACTCCAGTTAAGAGAGCAATTGTAATTTAACCGAGAGAAATATTGCGAACGACATGAACAATAATTCCTGTCTCAAAACCCTCCCTTCCTATTCCGGAACAGGCATATAACAGTTACGGGGAATTTATGATTATTTGATTTTACATTATAACAATATTTCGACGTAATCTCTTGTTAACTTTCGCTACAAAGTTAACTTTTGTATTTAGAAACAGGATTTTGTTTCGTTTCGATTAACACTGTTCCACTGTTTGATGCTTACAGTATAAATGTTCATGATAAATAAATTATTATACGTATTATATATAATAAGTAAAATATAATTACTTATATATCATATCATATTATTACTCATATTTATATATCATGTCTACTGTCTATCTGTGTCTGTTTGACTGTCTATTTATTACCTTTTCCTCCCCTGAAGGAATGTTGATGCCGACTTATGTTTGACATAAAGATAGAATGTATCACAAGTTTAGATATAGATAGCGAAGTCACAAGTAGGAACTATTGGGATTTGAATATTATAAGTGCGAAACTGGGTCAATCTGTATATTTTTTTTATGTTTTTATGACCAAACGGCTGAAACCATATTAATGATTGACGTATAGATACAATGAAAGTATCATGAGTACAGATATAGGCTATCTTTGGTCTTAAAAAAGTTAACAAAGTAAAGATAGTATAAGCTGTAATATCAGTATATCTAACATTTGTGTTCCTGTTGAAAAAATTATGAACCATTATTATTTTAATTAAAAACTTGAATGCCTATAAATATAAAATATTAATCAGCAATGCATGTACCTTTATGTAATTACAGCCTTAACAGCACTTTATGCTCAAAATTAATTAAGCTTATCTTGATAGCTTTAAAATTGGAATTATTCCGTACGTTGCAGACTGAAAATAAATTCATCAAGAATACATATAACAATATCATGTAACAATTTAATTCTTTCAATAATTATATAGTAATGTTAAAAATTATATAAAATGAATATTCATTTCAATTCTGATACTACTTAAATACTAATGTAATAATATTCAAATTATTTTACTAAACGAATAAAAATAATATATTTAAGTTGGTGACCTACAAATTGAATATAAATATATAATATTATCTAAATGAATGTTTTATAATCTATATCTACTCAACATAGCCTTTTCTTGAATGTTCACCCGCATGTAACCCTTTATCTTGAATTCTTTTGGGATTTCCCAGAAGCCTTCTCTGATGATGTCTTTTAGAAATATATTTTACAAATTGAAGTTTTATAATGTGTAATATGTTATTTATAACAAAACATTATCATTATTCAAAATAAACTTTATGATATTTATAAATATTAAATATTATAAATGCGATTGCGATCTGCCATTTTTATTTTTCACTACTAAAGGGCTGAATGAAGCTTAATTTGACACGGTGTATATTCCAAGAACGAAAACTATTTATTTATTTAAATATCCAGATGGAATCGCGAATAAAATAATAAAAGAAATACATGTGCTTCAATTAAAATCCCGCTTGTAAAATTAATTGTTGTCAATACACACAAAATCAATCAATAGATTACAATATAAATCCTATCATGAATAAAATATAAGAACACGGGTGGAAACTATGTGGTATATTTTTGATTGATGTCAATGATTACCTCAAATCAAATAAAATATCTGTACAAACCAAATCAAAATATCCGAGTGAGTAAACAAAATAATAAAACTTTACAGATGCGTATAGGTCGTTCAATACAAATAAAGGTTATTGAATTTATTGAGAATTCATATTCTATATTGCAACAAACATTTTCAATTTCAGAACTGTAATAGATAATATCGGGTATCCTTTATTGATTCATGCTCTTCTTTTTAAAGACACTTAAAATGCCTCCAGCAATACGAACCGCGTCCAGCATAATTTGGACTCTAGGTCTCTCCTGCTTATATCTAGAAGCTAGGGACTTAGATATGGATGGTATAGAAAGTTAGGGGTCATATAATTCTGTTCACTCATTGTTTGATCGCAATGCGTTTACTGGGTCGATAAGATCGCTTTGTTTGTACTTACGTATATCTTCGTTTACTGAAGCAACTGCCTTTAAGATACGTTGAACAATTCTTTACAATAATTTGAAATAGGTTTAAAACAAAACAAAAATATAAATTTGATTATCCAATAAAATAAACATTATTTAGCTTAGCTATATAATAAGATAAACGTTAATCTAAATTGATAAAAAAATATGTAACATAATTGAGAACATAATATAAGAAGTAGAATCAAACAAAATATCCAATAATAAACTGAATATACAAGTATCTACGAAAGTAACTATAGGTATCCTAATGTTGGGTAATAAATAATTAGAAAAACAACTCTTCAACGGAAACAGCTTACAGAGCAGTATGGCATGGTTGCTTAATTAAATGACACTGATATTTTTATGAATGAGATTAAATTTTGAATTTTTTTTTGTTTGTTTGTATGTTTACATATGCCATTATTTTACAAAAAAATAAAGAGATTAGAATTCTTACTGAAGAACATATCTATGCGATCTACGTCGTTCATTCCGTGGTCACTAACCCGATCATTCTATATATGTACCTAATGATAATATATAAAGAGGTATATGGTTAGTTAGAACGGCCGGGTTCTATTGGTAACGAGTCTATTCAATACAAAAAATTGAGTTAAATTGGAAAATCAGTGAACAGGGACGTCTCAGAAAATTACGTTTCTTTCACTTTGCCAATAAGAAAACGACATCGACGTTTGCTGTATCGTACATTTCTGATAGAAAATATTACTAAAGGTTAAGTAATATATATACATATACTAGCTGTACCCGCGACTTCGTCCGCGTAAAATAGTGACCTTGAGCAAATAATAAAAAATATATATTAATAATCTAACCCAATAAAAAACGTTTCATGGTTCTAGCTTCAAAAATGAAATTTCCATACATAATTCCATATAATTCAATCAACAGCCAAAAACTATGTTTCAAACTACTATCTTTAAAATGAAGATACTTCCATACATACCATACATACATTACATCTCCCCTTTTAACCCCTTATAACCCTTTTTCTTGTTTTTTTTAATGCTACTTATATTAGTGTCATCATGTACCAATGATAAGATGTCGCTATACTGTAACCATTTATGGCTGAGTCCTGTGGCGGTAGGTACTGATATTTTCTCAACAGCCTAAAAAATGGGTTTCAAGTTTCTAGCTTTAAAAAATGACAATACATGCATACAACATTTTAACTCCCCTTTTGACCCTTACAACCCATTTTCGTTAATTATATTTAATCAATAAGATTGAAGCTTAAACTTTTAAAAAATTCCTCTTTCAGTCTCTTATAACCCTTTTTAGCATTAAAAAGTAACCTATGTCCTATCTCAAGATCTAGACTTTAAATTTCATTTAAATCAGTTCAGAAGTTTTGGCTTTTAAGACAGACAGACAGAGTCACTCTTACTTTCATAATATTAGTAAGGTATTTATTAAATAAACTGACCCAAAAAAGCGTAAGAAAAAAGCTTCATCGTTCTAGCTTCAAATATGACGAATTTCCATAAAAACTTTTATCTGCTATTTTATTTTACCCCTTGAATGGTGACAATGTGATATTTACAAATTTAAATGTCATATTTATTTATATTTAATAAACAGTTTAAACATTTCTTTAAATTCTTTTGAAAATTGGTGGTCCAGTTGGCCAATAACATAATAAAATTTTGTTAAATCAAAATAATAGATGTGATATTCTAAATTGCAAACTATCCCTCTACTTGCGCGAACCATATCTCTGACTCTACTGGCCAGAATGGAGAAACGTGTATTCCGAACCTGAATAGCTCGGATGGAACGGTAGATGTTGTTTCTTCCAAGGAAATGTTGTTCATATGTATTGACAACATTTTTAATATTATATGTTGTTTTATTCTTCAAAAATATTAATAATATGTTCTTAGTGTTCTTACGCTCTTGTCCAAGAGCAGGGTCATCAGTTATAGGCTATACCAGGATTATATTTATGTATTTATAAAATAAAATTGCAGAGCAAACGTTTATTCATTTAAATTCATAAGGAGACAACGGATTGACAATAATCAGTTGCGCGCGCA